AAACCTCAGACGTAATTTGGGCTTTTCGCCTATTCCTATTTGTCTTGTGGACTTCTTTCTATTTACTTCCCCTTCCCCTTGGTAACCTTTGTTTACCTTCGGATCCAATTGTTTCCGCTATATGTACGCATGTACCCCTCTAGTAAATAGTTCCCCCCAGTTATAATATAAACAGTCTTCAACCCTCCAAAACCTCTTCCAGGATGTCTATCGCATCCCACTCATCTGCTGCTCCTAAGAAACTGAGAACAGGCGCTCCCAGAGATGCCTTGGTATAACACCCAACGAATCGCGTGACGAACAATTAACCCTCGCTAATGCCTCCTCCATTAAGTAGTGAGGGGGGGGCCTCTGGCCCCCTTCTGCGGGCGGCCTCGGTCCCTCCATCGCCAGCTCCCCTGACAAATGGGGACAACGAGAATGTACCGGGTGCAGCGCTCCGTTCCAAGTCGCTGAAGCCGAGTCCCTTCAACACCCTGTCACCCTCGGAGCTCCGCCCCACCTCCAGTCTGTCTCCAACCCACCGTCGGATGACCTGGAACACTGAGCTCCATCCAACAGCATCGCCTGGATAGTGATCGACCTATCCTCTAAGGAAAGACGTTCGTGATAGTCAGTGTGACGTGTGACAGGTAGTTGGTTGTGCCAGTACAGTATATGATATTTGAATCAAAATTTTGACATGGCAAAAACTTGTTTCAACACGTCAAGCCAACCCCCCCCTCCCTAGCCTTGGCTTTGGTATTTCCCAAAGTGACACCCCTTGCATGTATACACTATTGAATATATGAACTAGTCGTGAATTAGTGCTCAGTTCCAAAGTTGTGAACTAATATTATTAGTCATTACCTGTCAGGGCACATACCCTGACTTAGCCCGGACCCGGACCCGCATCCGGACCCGTTCCACTTCCCGCACACTTCCTGCGCTGCACGCTCCGCGTGCCGCATGATCCGACCCCGGATCCCACCTCATGTGACTTCCGGGTATCCCCGGAAGTTTTCACCATATTGGGGCCACTGTGGGAAAGTGAGAAGTTAACCTTCTTCTCACTTTCTTACCCACAGTAGGTTGTGCCTTAGGATAGGCTGTTCACACACAGGGCTGTGGGCTATAGAGAGAGGGGTCATGGGGACCCGGGGTCCGTCCCCTGACATTACCTAGTCATGAATTATACAAGCGTTAGACTAAGTCTGCTCCAAGTGATGAAAAGGAATCTCACCTCAGTTCCAAGGTCATGAACTGAGGAGAGAGAGAAAAAAATCGCACAAGGTGGCTTTTTGTCAGAGACCAGGTTTGAGATGAAGGAAAGTCTCCATGGCAGAGGGCTTCGGCCTCAGCGACTTATGCCAAGAGCACTGTGCCTAGTAACACATCCGTGCCCTAACTTACTAACTGGCAACCAGAACTGAAGGGGGTTAACTCTAGTCGATTTTATTACTGGAGTGTAACCTATGTACAAGCTGGATATATATATGGTTACAGCGAAGACGGGTCTGCAAATGGCGGAGCCGAACGGAGCGGAGCTAACGGGGTTAAACATTAGCCGACTGAATATTACTGACAAGTCGGGTTGCGGGGTTAACGGAAAGGCAGGCGATAACCCAGAAACAGAAAGGAGGGATAGGCCCGAAGGTGGGCTCTGCAGGGCAGGTGAGTGTATTGCCCAGTGGAGGCGGGAGTGTGCTAGCGGATGTCGGAGCTGTCCGGAAGTCTTCGGGGCTCCGTACTTAGGGAGGCGTAGGTAATAAATTGAAAGGAGGAGGTGATGACCATCGAGGGGTACCGAGGGGATTGCGGAATACGGGAGCTCCGAGGTTAGTGAAGAAGGAGCAGAGGTAGACCGGAGGGATCGGAGGGACCAGAAGTCGATGGCCAGGGATGGATATGACACTTTTAAGCCATTGTCACAAACCCACCCAGGGAAGATCCGATCGCTACCCAGGCAGGTGTGTCTGATGGTGTTAGAACTTGTGGATTCAGATGACTCCGGAGTGGAATCGGAGACTTAGCGTGGAGGGACCTTGGCCTCAGCGACTCAAGTGGAGCGCTGTGCCATTGCTGTTTGTCCATTTGGTCCTTAATTTCACAGTAGGTGAGCAGGAAGTCTCTTGGGGGCATTTCAGGTCGATTTCGGACTGAAACCAGACAAGTATGTACAAGCGCCGATATATATATAAGGAAGGGGCAAAAGCACAAGGAGAAACAAAGGGCGACCGAATCGGAACGAAGACGTCCGAACGGGAACAAAGGGTTAGAGGGAGCGGAGCGGTACCGAAGGTCATAGGGCAAGACCTGTGATACATCCGAAAGGAGGTAGAGTGGGCGAGGCCCAGAGGGGCAGGAGGATGAGGGGAAGTGGGGGTGATGACTAACTGGCTAGAATAGAAGGAAGCAGTAGTCCAAATAGGGATGAGGGGGAATTGCGAGAAATACATTACAAACGGCGAGAGTGCCGGAGGCGGTCCGCGAAGCTCGGGGGTTGCGGAGCTTACGGAGGTTACGGAGGCGGGGTTGGAAGTCCGAGGAATATTGGCAATGGTGTTTACGTAGTATGAGGTCACCAATGCAATGGACTAAGACCGAGGTGGAGTCAAAGTCCGAGGTATGGACTATGACGGAGGCTCGGAGTAAGGTACGAACGGTGTCCGAGTGTGAAGTACGGAACAGCGGTGGATGGTCGTAACTTGGCGGAAGGGTGGCAGAGGAGTGACGGAGGAAGGAGAGAGGGGACAGGTAAGGAAGAGTAGTCAGGTCCGAAGGTGGATATCGGAACGGACGGAGAAAGCGTAGGGGATGACGGGAGGGTGGAGGTGTGGTGAGGGGGGAGCGGAGTTGTAGGAAGGGTGGCGAGTAGGGCGATGTTCGGTCCGAGATGAGTATCGGAACGGACGGAGAAGGGGTCGGAGAGGTAAGAGGAGGGGTGTGTTGCCAAGACCGAAGGTGAGTATCGGAAAGGCAGCGGTAGGTTATGACTCCGGAGGTGAAGAGGGTGGAGGTCCGGAAGTCGGGTCGGGGTCGGGTATGCACGGATATGACAGGCCTCAGCAACTCAAGCGGAGCGCTGTGCCATTGCTGGTTGTCCTGGGGGTCCCTAATTTCGGATCTAGCAGAGGGAAAGTCTCTTGGGGGAATTCATGTCGATTTCGGACTGGGGTTACAAGTTACTAGGTACATTGTATATAAGGAGGGGTCCAGAATCAAAAGGAACAAGGGTAAGACGAAAGGAGACAAAGGGAGATGGAAAGAGGACAACACCGAGGGTCAAGTGTTTGACTCAATGGTGTTTCCCAAAGGAGGAATGAAGGGCCAAGGCCCAAGGAGGAAGGAAGGAGGATGGGAGTCGGGAATGGCTAGCTGACTGAATAGAAAGGAAGCAGCAGCCCAAATAGGAATGAGGGAGAATAGCGGAATTGAATTGGACAATGCAATAGTTGCAAGGTCCGGAGTAAGTCTGGAAAGTCCGAACTCGGAGGTTAAACTCCGGAATATTGGCAAACGTAATTAAATGGAATGAACTAACCAATACAATGGGTATAAGCGGAGGTGGGGTCAACGTCTGAGGTCGGAGCTAAGACCGGAGGTTCCGGAGATGGAGACGCGAACGGGATTCCGGAGCAGAGGTCCGGAGTCGGGAGCATAGGTTTTGCGTACTCGTCTGGAAGGTGTCGAGGTTGGGGTCGGAACCGGAATGTTCCGGAGTCGGACCGAAGGTGGTGTTGGAGCCGGAGGTGGGATAACCTCTTGGGAGTCGGCAAGGAGAAGGTGACGGAAGGGAAGTAGGGCTCCGGAGTTCTTTTCAGGGTTCCGGGAGCCCGGAGCGGAGGTCGGGATTGTATGGATATGACAGATGGAGCTCGATGTTCTGGGTTGTCCAACAGTGGGTCGGAGACAGGCTGGAGGTGGAGCAGAGCTCCGAGGGTGACGGGGTGTTGAAGGGACTCGGCTTCAGCAACTCGGAATGGAGCACTGCACCCATTACGTCCTCATTGTCCCCAATTTGTCAGGGGAGCTGGCGACAAAGGAACCGAGGCTGCCAGCAGAAGGGGGCCAGAAGCTCCCCCTCACTACTTAACAATGGAGACGTTAGCGAGGGTCAATCGTTCATCACACGATTCGTTAGGGTGTATACCAAGGCACCTTTAGACATGTCTGTCACTCAGTTCTTGGTTCAGGGTGGAGTAGCAGACAAGTAGAACGCGATAGATGTCCTGGGAGAGGGTTTGGATTCAAGGACTTAATATTATAACTGGGGGGAACTATTTACTAGAGTGGTACACGCATACATATAGCAGAGGTAAAAGGGTCCGAAGGCAACCAAGGGTTACCAAGGGGAAGGAGAAGTAAATAGAAAGACTCCACAGGACAAATATAGATTAGGCGAAAAGCCCAAGTTACATCTGAAGTTTGTGGAGTGGGAGAATTAGAAACTGTTAGATCGGGCGGATTCAGATGACTCTGGAGTGGAATCGGAGACATAGCATGGAAGGACCTCAGCCTCAGTGTGGAGCGCTGTGCCATTGCTGGTTGTCCTGGGGGCCCCTAATTTCGGATCTAGCAGAGGGAAAGTCTCTTGGGGGGAAATCAAGTCGATTTCGGACTGAGGTTACAAGTTACTATGTACATTGTATATAAGGAGGGGTCCGGAATCAAAAGGAGCAAGGGTACTCCGAAAGGAGAAAGGGAGCTGGAAGGAGGAACAGCACTGAGGGTCAAGGGTTTGACTCAATGGTGTTTCCCAAAGGAGGAGTGAAGGGCCAAGGCCCAAGGAGGAAGGAAGGAGGATTGGAGTGGGGAATGGCCAGCTGACTGAATAGAAAGGAAGCAGCAGCCCAAATAGGAATGAGGAAGAATAGCGGAATTGAATAGGACAATGCAATAGTTGCAAGGTCCGAAGTAAGTCCAGAAAGTCCGAACTCGGAGGTTAAACTCCGGAATATTGGCAAAGGTAATTAAATGGAATGAGCTAACCAATACAATGGGTATAAGCGGAGGTGGGGTCAAAGTCCGAGGTCGGAGCTAAGACCAGAGGTTCCGGAGATGGAGACATGAACGGGATTCCGGAGTGGAGGTCCGGAGTCGGGAGCATAGGTGTTGCGTGCTCGTCTGGAAGGTGTCGAGGTTGAGGTTGGACCCGGAATGTTCCAGAGTCGGACCAAAGGTGGTGTCGGAGCTGGAGGTGGGATAACCTCTTGGGAGTCGGCAAGGAGAAGGTGATGGAAGGGAAGTGGGGCTCCGGAGTCAGTTTCGGAGTTCTGGGAGCCTGGAGCAGAGGTCAGGATTGTATGGATATGACAGAAACCAACTGAATGGTAAGGCCTGGGCCCATCTATGAATGAGCAGGGGAACTACAGGGGGAGACATCCAGAAGAGTCCGGAGCCCGGAAGTCATAGTCCGGAATATTGGGGTTGTAGAAAATATCAAATGATAAAACAATAAGGAATAACATGACCAGAGGTAAGGTAGGAGTGGGGAGGTACCAGAGGTACACGACCGGAGGTGTCGGAGGTGTGGTAGGGGAGGTCCAGAGGTAGGAGGTCCAGAGGTGATGTGGATGTAGATGGGAGGAAGGGTGGAAGAGAGTCGAAGGAGGAGGTAGTCCTAGGATCGTTGGCATCGACCAGAGGCAGCAGAGAGAGATTGGGAGGGCTGGTGGAGGTTATAGGAGTCGTCTGGGGGTAGGGCGGAGGGAGGTGGAAGATCTGGGATATGACAGCCATCCTTGACTGTGTTCATCAACATGGGTCCCAAAATGTAAGCACATGGTTATAAGTGCCTCACACTCCCGGTCCGTCACACAAATACGCTTTAATGAGCTATATTGTTAACGGGGGAGTAAAGGAGGAGCCTTTCCTCCTACCTGCGCATCTTATATATGTGTATCTACATGATGTAATGTGGCTTAATACTATACAAGTTATCTATGTTACTGAAGCGCGACTGCAGTTGCGCTTGATGTGAAGTCTGGAAAGGACAGACAATGTGTGGGTACACATTGTAAGTCCTTACACAAAAGTAGAAGCATTGGGCAATTGTCAGGGCAATAGCCCCGAACCCCGAGCCACATGTAATTAGATACATATAGTCACGTGGGTAAGCGGGAACCTCCGGGTAACTGCTTACACACTACCGTAAAATACACACATTTGTATCACTTACGGCTCTGTGTGCTGAGCTACCCCAGAGACCTCACACTTTTTTAAGTGTATGAGGTGTGTTTTACAACACAACCCACAAAAAACTATCCATTCTTAACATCTGACTCAGTAGCACCTATGGCACCTAAACACGCCTGCAAGGGCAAGGTCGCATCTGCAGCGACGCTAAAAAGAAACGAGCGGTTTATTAAGAAACCGCAATCTCCCATCATGGGAGATTCAAACCAAAAGCCATTGTCAGACGACGACGAGGATCAACACGATCCGGCAGTAGCAACCACCTCAGGGCTGGCCCCTGAAGGTTTTAGAAACTTACATGGAGTAAGTGTGGGGCCTAATACCCCTAGAACTCCACGACATACCGATCTAACCCAAGCTGGGGAAGATCCTTCACCTCCTCACGAGGTGATTGACTTGTGCGATAAACGCGTAAGCGCCGAACGATCAGCCCAAAAAGCTGATCAGATAGAATTGCAGGAAACTCCAGGGCCCAACTATCCCCTGGAGTCCCCCCTCATGTCCCCAAGTCAAGCCCCAAAGGCAGACAAAGGGAAACAAAGGGAAGAGCCCCCGCATCGGCTATCCGAAAAACTACTGGACTTGTTCCAGGTTCCGTCTGAATGGAGGACAGAAAGCGAAGACCAACTTCTTCTCAGGCTGAAAGCCCGAGAAGGCACAAAGATACGCCCTGAGAGCAGGATCTCCCAGAGCGCGGAAGCTCCAAAAGAACTTCCACTGTTTACACTCCCACACGCCATGCCAGACAAGGCAAGGTCGCCAACCTCGGAGGAGGTCTCCGAGATAATGAAGAGGAGGCGAACTGAAATGAGGGAGTTCGCTGAGGAAGCCTTATGGAAAAGTAAGGAAAAACCAGCGAACAGACCCCTCTATGAAAGGGAAGCACCCTCCGCAACGGCCTCACCTCAACAAAGCGAGCGTGGAGCGTTCACTCCAAGAACCCCTTCTGGAACCCCCAGAAGCGGTAATGTCAACTGGGGAGAGTCACTGCTCACCCAACCAAACTTCCTCCTGGAAAACCAGGAATCGTGCATAATAAACGCGATAAACTCGATCCAAAAAAAGATCAAGGAAACGAACCACAATAGTACGGCTCATCTAGAGATAACTCTAGAAAGAATGGCCAACGCAATCGACGCGTTGACTGAAAAAATCAGTGAACAGACGGACTTGCTGAAGGAAATAAACTTCTCACAAAAAAGTGAGGAAACAAATAAACACCCCTGGACCACGGTCCAGGACATAAATAGAACTCGTGAAAAATTCACGAAAAGAACCACCAGTGAAAGCACACTGGAGTATCATCAGTGACTCGACAGAGACGCTAAGGAGATCCTTCTCCCAAGGATAGGAGAAGACGATGCCGAAAGAAGGCATCGTTCAGAGATTAGGAGGAGAATTGGCACGTACCAAAGGTTCTGCCAAACGTCCACTTACGATGGACCTCTCGAACAGAGAGGTAACTCAAACACACTCTCTCAAAACAATGAGAGAATCCAAATACAACTTCAGGCGAATTTGCCTGAAACCAAAGAAACGCTGCGAGGAAGATTTCCCCCAGCAAAAACCCCCCAAAGGAGAGATCTCCATTGGATAGCGACCCCGCGAAGGCAGGGGAGCAAGAGGAGTACCTAGAGAAATGGTATGAAAAGGCCATAAGAATGGCCAAAGTGAGAATACTCACTCCTTACCCAGAAGGAGTGAAGCCTGAAGCCCTAAAAAATGGGCCGGCATTCCCTGACAAGAAATGGTCAGGGGAGAACGACATGGAATCGTTCTGGCAGTGGTTCACAGAACTACTAGGATTCCTCGCTTCACGAGGATGCAAAGGTCCCCAATTCGACGAAGTCCATCTGGACTGCTTGATTCGTGGATTAGGGGGGCCCACGTTCGACCTCGGAATAAGACTCCGAGACGAAACTCTCCTCAGAGGAGATGAGGGCATGTTCCTCGAAGTTCTCAACATATTGATGAGAACTTTCATTAAAGCCTCTGCCATGTTGAACGTGACAAAGAAGTACCGCAACGTCAAATACGAAGCGGAAAAAGGCCTAAAACAGTTCTACCTAGAACTGTTCAAAGCAGCGTCCCAGATGGTGACGCTGCCAGACCAGGCATCCTCTAACGCCAGGTTCCTAAACTACATTCCCCTCGAATGGAAGAGGGAAATGATTGCTCATGATAGAATCAGAGCAGACTTCTCCTCAAATGAGGAGATGTTAAAAGCAATATCTTGTGTAGACGAGATAATCGATGGGCTGAAAATGTCTTCAGCCTACAAATCAGGATACTATACCCGAACAACTACCACGGCAACCACGAGCTGCGGTAGAGCCCTCCCATCAGGAAAGAAGGCTGAAGAGCTGAAACCCAGATGGAAAGAGGATACATCCTCGAAAAACTCGAGGAAAACTGACCAAAAGTCAGTTCCAATTTGCGGCAAATGCGGCAAAATAGGGCAAACGAAAGATTGCCCAAGACACAATGTAACGAGCGATGAAAAACCAAGGCACATAGCTGCCATGGAGATTGCGATCACAATGGAAGAAGAGTCGAAAGACTCATCAGATGAGAAACCAGAGAACAACTCTGGTAACTCCAAAGCATCAAGCTTCGAAGTAGAGGACCCATATGGAGGACCTCAATACTCACCCGACTCAGAGGGTGAGGAAGTCAATGTTGGGACCATAAGGATGGGCCCAATGTCAGTCGTCGATCACGACGACATAAATTACAAAATCAAACTGGCTGTAGCACGCCAGTTAGAAAACACAGCAGACGAAAAAGTTGCCGAAGCCTTGGTGGAAGCACCAAGAAAAGACGCCTTGGGGAAATACACCAAAGTACCCAAGGAAAACAAGGACAAAGGGAAGAAGGACCAAAAGTCCATCGAAACCCAGTCCCCCTTGTTTGATGCGAAATTCCGCATCTCAAAAGACGCAGGAAAATACCCCGCAAACAGACCGCTCTCAACAAAGAGAACGCTGACGGCTCACATAAAAATAGCAGGCATAAAAGCCTACGCACTATTCGATAGTGGAGCCGAAACGGACGCTTTATTGCCAGACTTTGTCCGTGCAGTCCACATCCCAATTCTCCAATTGGAGAACCCAGTTGTCCTTCAAATGGGGATGAAAGGAACAAGATCACAGATCCTGTTCGGAACAAATGTGGATGTTGAGATTAACGGCCACGTAGAAAAACACTACTTCGATGTAATTAACATCGATAGATATGATGCCATATTCGGCGCCCCCTGGTTAAACAAAAACCAGGTAAGCTTAGACTTCCGGTCCCACAAAGTGAGAACAGTGAACAAGGGCAACATAGACACCCTTGGAGTAAGTGAAGATCGTGTGACAAGATCACACGGATGGAAAACTCGAGCAAGAGCTCGAGAACAACCAAAAAAGAAGCCCCCCTGACAGGGAGGTGGGATTGAAACACACCTCAGGGTAATCGAAAGAAAGTACCCTGAAGGTTGGCCCAATCCTAGTCCGGAAGGACTAGAACTTCCAGACGTACCACATCTGGAAGGTCTCTCCATGAACAACCCCGAGTTCGAAATACTCAGGGAGTGAGTGGTGGAGAGAGAAATTCAAAACCGTAATGGTGCCAGCGCCATTAGAAATGCCTCCCTTGAGGGAGGTGAACCATCGAATCCCGTTGAAGGATCTGAACAAGAAATTTTGGGAAAACACCCCGAGATGTCCTGCAGCACTGCAGGAAGCACTAGCGACCAAAATAGATCGCTATGTAAAAGCAGGATGGTGGTATCCCGCGAACAGCGAGCAAGCATGCCCGCTACTGTGTATCCACAAAGCAGATGGATCTTTGTGCACGGTAATAGACATGAGGAATCGTAACTCAAACACGATCCTCGACATCACACCAATGCCAGACATGCAACTGATCCAAGAATCAGTCGCCAGAGCAACATACCGATCCAAGATCGATATGTCGGATGCGTACGAACAAATACGCGTGGATCCAGACGATGTCCATAGAATGACATTCTCTACGCCCCACGGGACGTACAACTCGAACACGATGCAGCAAGGAGACTGCAACGCTCCCTGCACCTTCCAGCGCGCACTGACCTGGGAACTACGAGGAGAAGTAGGCAGATGCCTACACGTCTGGTTCGATGATATATTCACCAGCACAAGCTCGGTGGAGAACCACAATAAAGCATTATTGTGGTTGTTCACTCGCCTAAAGGGGGCGAAATTCTACATAAGCCAGAAAAAATTCCAGCCATTTGCCCCAATCCTAGACGTTCTAGGAAGCCACATGGACGAACAGGGCATCCACGCTCAAGCGGATAAAATGGAAAAAATCCACAACTGGCGAGAGCCAGTAGACCACACAGGTGTCCTAAGATTCCTGGGAATGGTAGAATATCTATCGATATTCATGCCAAACATCAGTGGCTACACAGGACCACTGCAAACAATCTGCTCAAACAAGCAGACATTCAGGTGGACACCACTCCACCAGAAATGCTTCGATGAGATTAAACGTCTAGCATGCAGGGCTCCGAT